ACACACACACACACACACAAAAGATAGTGATGGGAATATTTAAAGTGAAACACAAAAGAAAAAACTGTATTACTGTACTTTGGTTGTGGTTCTCCTGTGATGCAACAACATCAGTGAGGAAGCTACTCAATTTTTCCTTTGTTTGCCTGGTCCTGTTTAAATTTCTAAAGACTCAAAAGGTATTTATTAAAAGAATCACACCACATATTTCTAAGAAATCTTAAAACTTGTGAACATTGATTTTCTAGACTATTGTTTACTTTTTCCAGTTCTGCTGTGACAAAAAGAAAAAGAATATAAAAAAAAGGCAACACATTAGGATGGTGACTCCTAAAATATGACAGGGTTTACATGGTCAATGTTTCAGTGCCAACTAAATTCATAGGGATATAAAAAGAAGATACATGAATCAGCTTTGCAACTCTTTGTAAATGACTAGCTGTAATGCAACACCAGATGAAAACATGACTATGATCGTGACAGTGGGAGTCTTACTCAATGTTCTTGGCAGAGACAGCCAGCCAGGTACTAGCTACAGTGGTGAGGTCCACCCTTCGTATTCGCTGGCATTCCTCTGGCCCTGGCCAGCCAAGACTTGTGTAGTCCCTCCAGCAACCTGCCCGTTAACAACATCAAAAAAGGCATTTCTCTCAGTTGGGTGAAGTCAAGTATCTCAGTGTATTTTCTATGTAAAATGCAGTGTATGTGGTACCTGAAGGTCCAGGCGATGGAATAGTTGGTCCACTGATCTCCAGGACAGAGTGTCCAGGCAATGACTCCCCATTCGGGTTGTCATCAGAGCTGGCAACACTCTCCGTCCCATCCACCTTAGCCTTCCTGACCCGCTTTACCTGGAAGGTGATCTGATGAACAACAACAACAACAAAAAAGCACTCACACTTTCAGTTCATTTATACACATCTAGAGCATGAACCGGGCCACATATTTCTGTCCAAACCTGACCCGTGCCCAAAAGTGTGAGGTCCGAATCCGATTATAGTATATGTCCGAAGTGACCTGAGCCCAACACAGTTGAGTTTGTACAGTGGTTTTCCCCTTATCATTAAACGAATCAGGTATTTGAGTGCTCCAGCCTTCTAGGCTGAAGTTCGACCTCCATGTCCAACCCTGACCTGAACATAATTTCAAAATTTCTATCTGAACCCTCAGGAACTGCTGTGTCCCCTTGGGTATCCACACTGTATACATATAAGCTCCACCCATCTGACAGAGTTTCGTGATTATTACTCAAACTCAAACCTGTTTAAACTGGTGCACTTACAGACTTACCCACTCTGCTCCCTCATCGTCCTCGCAGTTTCCGAAGCAGGGGCCTCCTCCAGCACGGGCACCCATGACACGGTCATTTTTTAGCACCCGGATACCTTGCAGGTCTCCTCGTTTGCCTCCAACATCCAGTGCTCCCTCAAAAGCTCCCATCAGGTCCTCCTTCAACTGCCATTCCTCCTCCCCTTCCACTCTTCCACCTCCAAATGGGGTGGCTATTTTAGCTGGGCCTGAGGCAGAGGGAGAAGTCCGCTGCTGTCCAGCTGCTTCACCTGACCCATTACTGTCCAAGATAACCTCTGAAGATTCAGGTGGTTGGACAAGGGAAATGAGAATTTAATTAGTTGGGGGAACTGCAGAAGATGGACAGAGAATTTTCAGAGTTTGGTAAATATTTTTCAGGGCGGCAAAGCCAACTGACATGCGAGACCGATGTGGTTGAAATTCTAATGACATGTCAGTAGACTCAGGAAATTGCTAATATACCATTGATGAAATAAACTTCCAGCTCAAGAGATGCCCATATATCAAACTGTGATCAAATAGCAATCATTAAATTATTCATATTGCATCAAGTACATTGTACTGAGCAGGTACATGATGAATGCAGTACAAATTTGTGTCACGTGGGACTTGGACAACCCTTTGCAACAGTGCTGTCTTCATATATAACAGAATCATATTATTACTCTCAAACAGCAATGAGTCCTCCATGGGAGAAATGGCTGGTGCATCCTGCTTCTCTTCGCTGCCCTCCCATTCTTCTAATTGTATACCAAGATCATCCTCAGCCATGCAGGGAGCACCCTCTGATCAACACAGGTGAAGAGAAAGTTATTACTCCAAACCTTACTGTAGCAACAGAACTGGAGGAGCAGACACTTCTTACTGTAGGTGGCACTGAGACAAATGCATTCATGATCACACTGACCAACACAGATGTATGGCATTTAACAAACAGTATATTCTAAAACACACTTCTGTAAGGTCAGATATTTTAGTAATGCACATTGTGAGCAATAGTAAATTTTGAATACAATTAATATTCTAACACTTGAAGAATGATCCACTCTTGTGTGGGGAATTATGAGACAAATCACTGATATTTAATTTGAATTTACGTAGTAACCTTTAGGTATTTATCTATACATATGGATACTATTACTACTATGTGACTGACTGATATAGTGGTGCAAACTACAGCCAGATCATCAGCTCTCTGGAAACAGAAAGTGATGCATTTTAAATTTTGAGACAAAGCAACTACTATTTATTTTTGTAACAAACAAACAAAATAGTCCTTTCAGTTTCTCTGCCTCTACATTTTTTCTGACTCCATTCACTGTCTCAATTTACTTTGGTAGAGCTCAGGTTTTTCTCAACTTGGAAACTCCCCATGTCACCTGAAAGACATTAGATCATTGGCAGAGGACACATTATTATAGGAGCTATGGGAAACCCATAAAAACAGTTGTCTTGGTGCAAGGGACACTATGAATGGCTAGTTTGCAACAGCCAAGTATTGTATTTCTTTACAGTGCAACATTTATCCCAGCAGTAGGTTGTTTCAGGTTGAACACAGCTTTTGCCATAAACAAATAATGACTCACTTAGATAATAAGAGAGTGATGCTGATTAACATGCTCTGCAATGGATTACGACTCCCAACATCACAGTAGTGAAAGAGTGCCGTTATTGGCGTAGTCCAGTATGGCTCTCTTTGTTGCACTTGTAGGTTTCTATTGTTTGTTAGCTTGTCTTTCCAGGATCATAATGTTGGGCTATGGAGTAGTAGATTAGTGGTAGTAGTAGATCATTGCCTACTATAGTACTGTATGTGGCATTTTCATGTGTGCGTCTATGTGTTGGGCTGGCCTTGTCACATGCTGCAAGCAAACACAAGCTAATCTCAAGCTTTATACTGTAACATAACGAGTCAGCAGAGGCACTGAATGCAATTTCTCTGCTGCAGTTGTTTGTTTTGTGACTAACCAAAACTCTGAATCAGTGTATTATGCGTTTTCTCACAACTATAAAAAAAAAAAAAAAACACAGCCCACATCAACCATTTTTTTGAAGCAATACTTCTAAAATGAACAAAGCTGTAGGAGAAGCTGCAGCCACCATCAAATTTAATATGAGAAAAGTTTGTGTATTTTTCTGTGTATACAGTATTTCAACTACTATCTTGGCTTAAGGTGGGTGTGTGTTTTATATGTGCTTGGTTTGACCTCATATACTCACCATGTTTTATCGAAGCAATATTTTGCTTTAGAGAGTAAAATATAGACCCTTCTAAATTTGGAATCAGCTATTTTCTACAGCTTAAATTATTAAGTGGCAAAATTTCTCCACTTTAAAGCACTTTCCTCTTCACTCACACTGACATGAATAAAGAAGAAGGTGCACATCAGAGCACAATAAGGGGCAATATGGAGGGTTTCTTAGTGTAAGGCACCCAACAGGAGCACACCGAGTCCATAGGTAATATTCTAATCACTATAGCCAACTGGTAGGAGTTGTGTGATACAGAAAAAATAGTACGCTTTCATAAAACTTAATATTAAAAGGACTTTTGAAACACCAAAGCAATAATTTAGATAAACACAAAATTCCATTTACAAAGTAGTACCACTACCCTTTATTTTAACATAAAAATAACTGACAAAATGAAACAAACATGCTAATTTAGAGACCAAATTGACAGGCTCTGCATAAGTGACTAGTTTGCATTTCAATATGTTACAACTAAAACTGAAGTCAAAGTAAACTGACTATTCAGAAAATTATATGTACACTTTAGGTAAAATATTTGGCAAGAATTAGCCTCCTAGAGCTGTCTGTTACACAGCTCAGACTTTTATAAAAACTTTAGTAAGTGATGTTGATAAACAAGACTGACGCTTAGTTTTAAGGAACCTGCAAACTCTTCAGGTTCTCCCACAGATTTAACACAGGACAATTTTGCTGTTGTTAGACCTAAAATAACAAAAAACACAACAGGATATGTGTGGTGGTGCCAAAACCCTTAATTTTCTCCCAGACGAGTGCTGATGTTTTGAATATCTACTGCAGTTCACAGTTCAGCCGACCTCTGAACAAAATCAGGCAATAACTTTTTAAAATTAATCAGTTGTAGTAAAAGTCTATCACGCATTATACATAGATACAGGAAAATAAGCCTGTATGCATTTATGGTACTCACGCAAGCAGGGCTGTCGGTGAGAAAGATTGTAAAGGAAGGGGTAAAACTGCAGACAACGTAGCAGAGGTAGGGTGGTGCAACACTGTTTACAGCCAGCAAACAATGAGAAGGAAGAGGAGGAGGAAAGGGCCATCACCAGAATGTGGCGAAACAAGGCCAGAGCACCTGTCACATTGCCCTGTGCCAACTGCACACTCACCAGGCTGAGCAAGGTATGGGGCTGCAGAAGGAAAACAAAACAAAACAAAAAACAAGGGAACATGGGTAACATGTGAACATGGACACTCAGCTTCATCTTTAACCCACTGCTAAAACCCAGCAGGTTATTTACCATGTGTCTTTACCTCTGATGCATTGAGTGCCAACGCTTGCTCCAGCAGTGTTTGTGCATGGGCAGTCAAGCCGTGGTGTAGCAGCAGGTTGGCAGCATTGGTGAGGGGCAAATGGCGGTGGGAAGGCGGAGCTGAGCTCAACACCTGGCGTAAGCACTGCAGGGCACGGCTGCCGTTGCCCTTAGCTTGCCAGAACAGAGCTGCTTCATTGTGGACCTGCCAGTGGGGTATAGTGGCCTATATATACAAACAAACTTTTGTTAGCTCAAAAAGCCTTAAGATGGGTTTGATGGGATCATTTCAGAGTGGCTGGAGTGATTCATGATCAAATACTGATGGAGACTTTTTACTCAACACCACAAATTCAAACAGGGTAAAGTAATATTAAATCATTAAGGACAGAAAGCATGTTACCTGCCACTTTTCAGATTTAGATATTCAAGCATTTTACATTAGTAAGTGAGATTACAATATTGTGCCATGAGAACTCAGGAATGAAGAGCTTTCTTACTTGTTTTACAGCCTGAGCTATTGTGGAGCCAATCTGCTCCAGTGTCCATCCTCCACTACGAACCTGTAGTGCCTGAAATCACACAATTGTTGAGGACACTCAAGCATAATGCATTCTCCAGCCCTTTACACTCACCATAAACTTGACAACTAAATGTCTAACCCCAACCCTTCACCTAACACTTAACCTAATTCTAACCTTAACCCTCAAACAGCCTTCTGAAGTTGTAAGGACTGACCAAAATGGCATCGAATTAAAATTTCATACAAACATAGAAAGACATGCATGCACATACAGGTGCTGGTCATAAAATTAGAATATCATCAAAAAGTTGATTTATTTCATTAATTCCATTCAAAAAGTGAAACTTGTATATTATATCCATTCATTACACACAGACTGATATATTTCAAATGTTTATTTCTTTTAATTTTGATGATTATAACTGACAACCAATGAAAACCCCAAATTCGGTATCTCAGAAAATTAGAATATTGTGAAAAGGTTCAATATTGAAGACACCTGGTGCCACACTCTAATCAGCTATTTGACTCAAAACACCTGCAAAGGCCTTTAAATGGTGTCTCAGTCTAGTTCTGTAGGCTACACAATCATGGGGAAGACTGCTGACCTGACAGTTGTCCAAAAGACCACCATTGACACCTTGCACAAGGAGGGCAAGACACAAAAGGTCATTGCAGAAGAGGCTGGCTGTTCACAGAGCTCTGTGTCCAAGCACATCTTCAAGAACCACTACGCACAGACATGTGAAAGACATGGGTTTCAGCTGTCGCATTCCTTGTGTCAAGCCACTCTTGAACAACAGACAGCGTCAGAAGCGTCTCACCTGGGCTAAAGACAAAAAGGACTGGACTGCTGCTGAGTGGTCCAAAGTCATGTTCTCTGATGAAAGTAAATTTTGCATTACCTTTGGAAATCAGGGTCCCAGAGTCTGGAGGAAGAGAGGAGAGGCACAGAATCCACGTTGCTTGAGGTCCAGTGTAAAGTTTCCACAGTCAGTGATGGTTTGGGGTGCCATGTCATCTGCCGCTGTTGGTCCACTGTGTTTTCTGAGGTCCAAGGTCAATGCAGCTGTATACCAGGAAGTTTTAGAGCACTTCATGCTTCCTGCTGCTGACCAACTTTATGGAGATGCAGATTTCATTTTCCAACAGGACTTGGCACCTGCACACAGTGCCAAAGCTACCAGTACCTGGTTTAAGGACCATGGTATCCCTGTTCTTAATTGGCCAGCAAACTCGCCTGACCTTAACCCCATAGAAAATCTATGGGGTATTGTGAAGAGGAAGATGCGATATGCCAGACCCAACAATGCAGAAGAGCTGAAGGCCACTATCAGAGCAACCTGGGCTCTCGTAACACCTGAGCAGTGCCACAGACTGATCGACTCCATGCCACGCCGCATTGCTGCAGTAATTCAGGCAAAAGGAGCCCCAACTAAGTATTGAGTGCTGTACATGCTCATACTTTTCATGATCATACTTTTCAGTTGGCCAAGATTTCTAAAAATCCTTTCTTTGTATTGGTATTCAGTAATATTCTAATTTTCTGAGATACCGAATTTGGGGTTTTCATTGGTTGTCAGTTATAATCATCAAAATTAAAAGAAATAAACATTTGAAATATATCAGTCTGTGTATAATGAATGGATATAATATACAAGTTTCACTTTTTGAATGGAATTAATGAAATAAATCAACTTTTTGATGATATTCTAATTTTATGACCAGCACCTGTACACATATGTACTGTACATAACAGGCAGACAGATACCTGTGAAGCAAAGGGGTCTGGAAGCTCCTTTTCTTCCAGTGGCCAGTCTAGTGAGGCAGGGAGGAGGGCTGGGTACGGTTGGGGAACTGGACTACAGTCTGGCAGAGCTACTGTCTGAGGAGGACTGCTCTTACCATAGAGAAGGGTTGCCACTGAGCTGAAAATACACAAGCAGACAAGTCATTTTTGTGGAAAGTGGTCATGTACAAGTCTGATGGCACATGCTCATTGTGTTCTCCCTTAGTTTCAAATTGGTATTCTTAACTTTGATATGTGATGCACTTTTGAAGATCAATCTGAGGAACTTTTAACAGCTAAGCTGCTACTATATACTCACAAAATAACCCCATCCAGCAATGTGTACTGACCTGAGGCCCTGTGTTTCAGGTGGAAGGTAGTAGGTTGGCAACAGGTGAGCAGGGGGAACAGTTGGATACTCACGGGAACAGTCACTCCTCTGAGGCCACAACATCGTCTGTATGTCCTAAAAAAAAAAAAAAAAAAAAGGACTTTCAGGAACTCTTGTTATTCAAAACAATACCAAACCTTCATTATCAAGAGTATACAGATAAGCAGAAGAAAATGTCAGATATATTTATTAGCCTCTCCAGGAATTTCTGATCGTTTATGACTCCACGTTGCATGCAGTTCTCTTATCTTGCCTGTGTGTAATCCTGATGGCTGCCCCAGAGGGCAGCAGCAGGGTCTTGATTTCCAGACACAGAGGGATGGAGCTGTGGGCTGGGTGCTGTCTGGTTTGAGCTGCGCTCAGACACAAGTGCCACACTAGATGCCACTGACACCTCCTCTCCAAACTAGGAGCAAACACAAAAACAGAATTTGTCAAAAAATAAATGCTGACATTTGTAACTTCTCTCTGAAGGGAAAACCATGGTCTTATAAACACTATCCTTTTTATAAACATCTTTAACTATAATATCTCAAAGACTCACTTGGACATAGTGGACATGTTCAAACAGATCACCCCGGTGATAGCGCACAGGCAAGTCAAAGGGGCAGTAGAGACTGCGTTGCTGCTGACCAAGCCGACACATCTGATGGTTCCCTGGAGCACATAATGACACACAATACTCAGGTGCTGCTCTGGGCTGCAGGATCAAAGGAAGTGTATGCATCAGTATGCAAAAAGACCAACCAAGCTGGGCTTCCTTGGCCATCTGGGTCTCATGGATAATGTTGTGCAGGATCTGTTCTTCCTGCAGGAGCTTGTGCTTGTCCAGTGCCTCCTGCTGGCGAAGGTAGTGGTCATGCTGCTTCTGGTACTCCTTCAGTTCATTCAAGGTCCGCTGCAGGGATCTGCAAATACAGAAAAATGAGGACAAGAAATACAAGACAACTGACAGATATATATAGCAGGATCTCTGCAAAAACATCCACTCTTTCATGAGCTAAACACCGACTATGCCTGGGCACTACTCTTTTATTCACACACTGACTGCTTCATGAAAAGGTGGGAGTGTAAGGGGAATTCCCAAAAAGTATATAGGTTTTATTGTCATCATTAAAAATCCCCCACAAGCATACTGAATGATATGCTTACATTTTCATTACAAGCCACTGAATCCTAGACCCTTTTTTTTTTTAAACAAATATAGTGGACAGTCCCATGTACTTAGCATAAACCATCTTAAAAATCCATGTGTGCTTAAAATCATAACTATAATTATGTAGTCATAATCATGGCTATAATCATATAACTTTAATAATAACAAGTTTAATATGTTAAACTAGGAACAGCAAAAAAGAGAAAAGGGGCAAAACAATTATTAGAATTCCAGTAGGACTGGACAATATGGAAAAATATTTTATCAATTTTTTTTTTTCATGTGCACATTGTCCATTCTTACACACACACAAAAAAACACTACAATGGGATTGGTTAGAATTGCCTTCTTTCCTGCAATGTGATGGGCTGATGTGCATTATCAAGCAATGTCCCATACTAACAGTTTATTGAAGTTTGTCATTTTCTTATCATATACATTTTATGTCACCATGAGCGTTTGTATCTCTGACAATCTAACCCAGGATTCAAGACTGTACTGGTGTACTGACAGATTATTCTGTCTCGCTCTCTCAACTGCCTGCAAGGGCTATGCAGGAAACATCTGGATGTCACAGTGAGTAATTTACCTCTTTGTGGTATTTAGATTTTGTTTATAGTATGCAACAATTCTTCTGAAACAACCTAAGAGAGTGTGTGTATATGGGTGCATGCCTACCTGTGCTGGGCTTCCAGACGCTGCTCCAGCTTCTGCTGACAGAGCACAGCATGCTTCCTCCTCAAGGCTTGCTCAAACCCTGGCTGGGCCTGCAGTGCCTGCTCATAACATAGCACTGAGTGATTGTATTCCCCAAGCATCTGGTCAGACAGCAATAGAAGAGTAGACATACAGAGTGGATATAGCTGAGGTCAAAAACTGATTCATGTATAAATTGGACTAGGCCAATAAATAAATAAAGTAATATGTATAAATAAGTAATAAACAAAATATGAACAGAGTATACACTGGTACAAAGCTTTAGGGACTCAAAGACACTAAACATCACCACCATTCAGTGAATAAGTTTACTTTCAAATAGTCTGCCATGGTAGAATACAAAAGTCTGTCAACTATTCTGTTTAATAAGCTTTTACTATACAACATGCACATATAAGACACACCTTATTGAAGAAAGAAATTCAAGCTTATTTGAGTTTATTTATAAAGTGTACTGACAAATTCAAAAAACAATAGCTGTGATTGTATGGTGTTAACAGTTTGGCTAACACTAAATGGTTAACCCAATGGTAAATCTGCATTTAAATACACAAGCTTCTGCTGCAGTGCAATGGCTTCACTTGGACTTACAGCATAAATGTTGCCTAAAGTGTAGTGGCTGGTGAAGAGAACTGAGGTAAGGTCGAGGGCAGCATGGGCGAGAATAGCAGCATCAGCTGAGAAATGGGCACGGTGCAGGATATTGGCCATGTTGACCAGGGCTACATCCTTGTGTTGCCTACAAGTACAATATAACACAGCATGAGAAAATGAAAATCTGAAAGCACACTCACACTCTCTCTCTCTCTCTCTCACACACACACACACACACACACACACACACACACACACACACACACAGGTGTTTGTAACCTTCTGCACAGAAAACAAAACAATGTTGTCTTTGACTTTCTGTGCAACACATCAACAACAAATAAAAATGGCATGGGCAAAAGTTTTAGGACCTTAAACCCAGGATTTTGCAACACACTTTTAATTATCTTATTGGAAGAGCCATTGCCTGTGACTGATACAGAGCTGACACTGAGCAGGAGGTTGCTCTCCAAAATGTCTTGATAATCTTCTGATTTCATTGTGCCTTGCACAGAGTTAAGACTCCTTGTACCAGGTGCCGCAAGGCAACCCCATTACATGACTGAGCCTCCTCCACGTTTCACAGCAGAGATGGTGATTTCTCTGACAGCTTCTTTTTTTCTTCATGAGCACAGAGTGGATGTGACAAACATGAAAGCTCTCATATTGTTGACTGGTGCACTTTAGGTTGGCTATGATCCCACAGATCTTAAATGTCCTAATTGTTAGGAACTGTGTTACCATGAACATAAAGAAGGGCTGCTTGGAGATGGTCTTGTAGAATTTACCTCAACCATGCTCTACAGTTATTTTCTTCCTTATCTCCTCAGACAACTCTCTCCCTTTCAGTATGGTGCACATAATGATACAAAACAGCACAAAAACATAATGTTTCTCCATTTTAACAGGTTCAATAGGAGACTGAAGAGTGAAGACACTTGTGATACTAAATGCAGCCAATAGTCTGCTTGAAATGTTGCTACAAGCAACTTATCACCATTTCTAATGGGTACCAATAATTTTGTTCAGGCCATCTTTCAGACACTTCTTTACTAGTGCAGAGGCTTTCTGATGAGTCTGACAGTACCTTGGAGAAAAATGCAGGGCACGCACCACACAGTCCACTGCCCTCTGTGGCTCGTTCTTCATACGCCAGAAAAAAGAGGCCATGTTATACAGCACCCAAGATGATGAATTCTGGGAAACACAATAAAGACAGGCACATGTATACTCTAATTTTTAAACTTCTTTGAAGGACAAACTGATGCCTGTTAGGCCTCTATGGAATGTTTAGTTTTACCCCAATATAGTTTTGTTGCATTGACCAATGGATCTTAGTCACAAAGCTAATTATGCTCACTTGCTGACACTCTGAATCTCTGGGCTTGTACCACGGATGGGTAATGATTTTCAAATAGTCATTAAGTTAAAATATTTTTTTTGAATATTTCATGTAACTATGGTTTTGTCTTGAAAACAAAGACCCACTGTTTTCCTTTATTTTACCAGCGCCTTGAAATAACGTGATACAAGGTCAGTATATCATTTTACTACAGTGCCAAATACAAAATCCTGTGATTTTCGAATAACTGACGAATAAACAAATAGTTCCCAGTGAAAACTGAATAACATTTTAACTTGAAATGCCCATCCCCAGCTTGTAGTGACAAGTATTATTGCTTCAATATAATGGTGTGATTAGCCCATCTTCAAAACAGACTTTCTGATGCTGACTGAAAGACAGGCAGAAAAATGCATACACACACACACACACACACACACACACACAAACCCCAAAATTGTTCTGCTCCCCATTGGCAGACATTTAGCATTTTCCCTGCTTTTACTTTTCTGAATCTTGTATTTTTCTATACATATTCCATGCATTTGTCCTACAGCTGCAAATGGACAGTGCTGTACAGGGAGACCTTACCCTTATTAAACCTTGATGGATCCGATGGCCCACCTCATCAATACTGTGGCCCAGTTTATGAGACAGGGAACTAAAAATGGGATCCTCCTTAGAAAGAAGTGGGGAGGTCAAGTTTGCCTTCTCCTGCACACCCTGAAAAGGATGCAGGGAAGAGTCAATTACATGGAATTTTAGCATGTGATCAGTCAGACACCAAGGCTACATATGCAGTCAAATTATTTGCTACTAGATAAGCGGTGTACCAAATTCCAATGTACACACTTGAAGTAACCCTGCAAGTATGTACAAACAAATATGATGTGCTGGTCAAAGTCCAGATGGCTAACAGTAAGTAACGAAATGAAATGGATGATTCAATGAAATGCTGCAGAATAATTTGCATTTTTCCACTCTTATAAAATATAAACTTGATTCACTGGTAACCACCAAAAAAAGCTCTTTAATCTTTACCCAAGGGCCTCACTTATAAAATTGTTGATGGAGTTGAACGCAACCATAAAACAACATCAATCTGATTCCAGATCTGGAGACAGACTACAGTGACTTGCATATCTCCTGAGACATTTTCTATTGTGAAAAGTGTCACAGAATATAAACAGCAAAGTGAAAAATGTAACTTTATTCATCATAAAAACCTTGTTAACAGGCAGCAACCAAAGCTTGGCATTCTATACCAATTCACAACCAGTTTCCTTTTGAGTTGAATGAGGGGGACTGCTGAAAATGTTTTCTCCTTTGTTCTGGACTTTTGGAATAATTGACATGGAGCTGCCTCCACTCTAGGCTTTCCCATTAAGCTCACAGGGTCATTAATGAAGATAATTACAATACTCACCACTGCATATAATTTGATGAGGCTGGCTAGGCTTCCCTCACTAAGAAACTTAATAACCTTTGATATCCATAGATCTAGTCTTAAACAAAAGACAGCCAGCTTACTTTGGGTTTGATTGCATCAGCATGTTTATTTTGCTCCTGAACACCTCCCAAATCACTCTGTTTTCTTTTAATTTGGCCACATGTTCTCAATTCTATCATGGCCTAGACTGCCAGGATTATGTGTGAGCAAAGACTATCGCTGTGTGCTATGTGAAGCAATGTTAACTAGCTAAGTGCACATTACCTATGCCACCTCTTCCAGTGCAGAATGATTACAGCTGTTATCTGTCATGTACTAACACAATGCCTGCAACACAGCATTTCACAGAAATGGTTATTGATAAGGAACTGCCTAACGATAGACTCACAGACAGAGAGCTGCTAGAAAACTTACAGAGGTACTGATCAATAAGCTACCTAGTCAACTAACACAGCTGCACTCCCAAATGGTGGAGCTGGAGTCCACTGGCCTGGATACCATATTGCCCACTGATGACAATGAGGAAATGTATGGCCTTTCTGGCTGAAGGTTTCTGATTGGGTCATTTTCCTGGGCATCAGTGGCCTAAGGGAATAAGAAACTCTTCCTCCACTTTTTAAAAACCACAAAGGTCAGCAGGGGACATATGGAGTGTTTACAACCACAGGAGCTTATGAAGTCATAATTTGGAGTTTCCCGTATTTGTAATGCAGCAGAACCTGGAGAGCTGCTCTGGTCTGTTCCGCTTTGCTTTTCCCTGTGCCGGTCACTGTTTATGTGAGGGCAGGACTGCACTCCTCACACGCACGTGCACGTGCACACGCACACACACAGCTGAACCAAGAGCATGAGTCAATGATGCTGGTTAATCATGGTGCAACAAAATATACCAATAGCAGAGAAACTAAGAGCAGTTTATCAAATAGCTGTTGAAAAGGCAGAACACAAACTTGCAGAAATGTGATGCCCTTGCTGCTTTGCCTGCAGTAAACAGGCTGAAGTTCCTGTTTTACTTCTAAACCAGTATGAGTGAAGTAAGTGCAAAGAGGGTCTACCCTCCCCCCAGACAATGTAGACATCCTCATCGCTTTTGAAAAAGAATTTGAAGTTATAAGCTCTGGTCTGTTTTATCCATGTATTTTTTACTTTTCTTGATGATGTGGACACAGCTATATTTTTCCATTCACTATTGCTCAAAGGACGAAGGCATCACCAGGCGCCATATCAGATTTGAATTTAACAACTGAGTCCTGAATATTTTATTATAAAATACTATTGAAAAACTTGACATCTTTAATGTTGATTTCATTTAAGGCCATTGCTTTAAATGTTACTTAAGTAGCAAATGGAAAAGAAAGTTCTCTCCCTCTCTTTTTTTAAATATATGATCCAACCCTTGAGTTTGGGATCCACGGAACACCTAGTACACAGAGTTGCAGTATACCTGTATAACTTATACCTGTATGATTTATACAGGTATACCATACCGGTATAATTTTGATCAAACTATTGACAAGTTTGATCTCTACTCACCCTGAGATGCTGGAAAGCATGGATACTATAAGGCAGTTCAAACACTTTTGCACAGTCAGGCTTTTCTAGATCTGGTGGTAGAGATGACCAGAAATCCACATAGTCTTCAGGGCTACCGGGAGGATAGGGAAAAAGTTACCTAGACACACTTATGTAAAAATATTTTCCTGATTTGGCTATGAAAGAGTGAAAATGACACCATATCCATCCACTTTACAAAAATGCAGAAGAGATAGGAATAAAGCTGCTGATCATAAAAATAAAAACTGAGGATGTCTTACCTGATGTCTTTGCTTTCCAAGGAGATATAAGTGCCATCATACAGGTCCAGGTCCCCCAAGGGTACCTTAGCCATGATACAGTCTGCATCCTCTTTGTAGTGTCTCTGCTCCAGCCCTGTGTCTCTGTCCTCATTTTCTTCTATGTGAATCTTCTGTGCCACTAGCTGCTTCTGCTCAACAACATCCAAGGACAGTCAATCAGTGAGGATGTGTGTGCGCAAGAAATAGACAGTAGACTGTGAAATTAGGCAAAAAAAAAAAAAAAAAAAAAAAAAAAAAAAACAGGTTTTGATGGAAGGTACAAATGTTAAAAATGAAAGAGAACCCTCTTTTTTCCAACTGCACTGCAACATCTCTTTCCTGCCAAAATGAAAATACAATGAAAAGCAAAACACTAAAGTGTTAGTGAGAACAACTAGACTGAGAACTTGAAGACAAACCCACTTTGTCAACATCTTCACACATAATACTCACAAAGTAAAACCCACATACCTCCAACTTCTTGAGATAGTTAACCCGAGTCTCTTGCCTCATGAAGATCACAACGTCATGTGGATGTTTCAGATTCAAGGGTGAATCAACCTGGCCACAAAATAAGTGTAATCTGACATGACTCTGTTCAAGTAGTACAGTAGTTATTCTCGCCAGTCACGCTGAATGCTAAACAGATTGAACCGACGGATTAACCTAATGACATAACAGTGTTTTAAAGATCTATTTAGTCTATTCAGTTCTAATTTCTGACATGCAGATTCGGATGATCAGAACACCAAAGCCTGTCACATAAGGGCAAACATGATCTTTCTCTCTAAATTAAGGTAGGTGTTTACTGGAAATTGGCACCAACCAATATTAACTTTGGTACATATAATCTCTTTCAAACGTGGACGGTGACATGGGGCTGAAATATTTTGATCATCTTTAACTAACGATAATAGTTACACCTAATGTTAGCGTTAAACGTCAATTTTAAGGTAGCGAATTAACAACCGAAGTAGCCAAACAAGAGCAATTTTAATGTTAGTTTCTCGCTGTAATGTTAGCAAGGCGGGCAAACGAGTCTTGTGGAGTTCAAACTAACTACTGAAATTACGCCAACAAACTACAAAGCATTAACGTTATCGTTAAAGCCAAAAGATGGTTAGCTTTAAAAGCTAACCACCCAACTTCACGTAACTAAGCGTTAGCAAGTCATGCTAGCTAACTGTCACACCTGTTGTTGAATTTTCCCATCCTCTGTGACAACCCAGTGAGTCGTAGCTCCTCCGGAGTCCACTATAAGTATACAAGCAAGGATGAAAAGCTTCCCCTGAAGTGACTGTTTTCGTGAATAGTTGATACGGCAGGGCAAAGACTCAGGACAGATTTTCCGGATGTCCGCCATTTTTGTCTCCTTTTGCTCAGTGTCAACAGAAGGAAACCTCCGGCCAGGCGGCGGCGCTGCTCACGTCAGCACCTTGCAAAAAAAAAAAAAAAAAAAAAAAAAAAAAAAAAAAATTAACAGGTTACCTCTGATGACGTTAGGAAATGAAATCAGGAAATTCTGTAGAAACGAAAAGTTCGAAACATTTTGGGGTCGAAGATTGGCTGGTAGCTATACTCTAAAAACATCATCTGTTTATAATCAGTGCTTTAATGTTGTTGACGCTGACGAGGACGCGCGTTTTCATCTGACGTTTTGGTGAGTATCTTTCTGTATAATATCAATTTTAAGCCTAGTTAGTCTCAAAGTTGCAGTTCCGCATCCAAGGGCATGACTGGTCCATCAAGTGACAATTTTGCAAACACAGTATGTAACGTTAATCCCCTAGTCCCTTAATATTGCATACTGTTAGCTGTAACGTGTCTGCCATTAAATTTGCATGGTGTTAGCCGGGACCTTATTAAGTCACGCTAATTATGAAAAAGAACTACGTAAATGCTATTTATTGGATGTAGCTCTACCCATGAGAGCTTCTCGGTGCCAGCGAATGGCCTATAAAAGATAAGATACTGTGGAGTGGCGGTGTAATAAAGACCAAGACTTTAGCGGGAGAGTCTCGGCTGTGGCTGCTCCCTACAAATCAGTAACTCGAATAAATTGACTTCTCGCATTATGTCAAACGAGTCACCACACTTTTTAGTTAGTTGTAAACAGCGCAAGGCAAGAGCATGAGCGTTTTAGGCTGTAAACGTATAAAAGCCGAATCTTATCTCAAAATGACCGAACCGCAGAAATAATTTAACAGCTGGGCTGAGAAGGTTGCTATGATCAATTTTTCTAACTGTGTGGGAGCCACGTTTCAGAAGGAGGCACCATGGCCAGAAACAAAGAGAACCTTTTCAGCTTTGTTAAAATGAGCATTGATTGCTGAGCTGTATATGATGAACTGAGCTAACAATCTGTTACTTTTTTGCTAGTTTCACTTTCAGTTTATAACACATTTTTGTCCCACTCTATAGATGGCTTGCTGTGAAAGCAACAAGGGGAGTTTGGAGGAGGACAGCTATGACAGAACTGTTGGTGGGGAGCTGTCTGACTGTGCCTGGGCAATGCTAGAAAAAGAACGGGACTCACTTCTCAGCCCTTCAGAGAGTCCTGGCACCTTCATCAGTGGTACCTCTAGCCTTCAGGCCACAGTCCCCCTCCAAGGCTATGATGTGGAGTTTGATCCACCTCTAGAGAGTAAATATGAGTGTCCTATCTGCCTCATGGCTTTGAGGAATGCCATTCAAACACCCTGTGGTCACCGTTTCTGCAAGAACTGCATTGAGAAGTCCATTCGGTATGCTATTATACAGCTCTTTAGATAACAATGACCACAATTTAGGTTTATAACACATTTGTTAACACCAGTTTCATGGCACATCCAAGAATAGCTGTTAATTAGCAACAGAACAATCTTTCAGATTTCTGAGTAGGAATTTAAGAATAAAGGTCCTCTAGAATATGTCTAAACAATGTTTTTGATGATGCTGTATAGTTTGAATAATTTTCACTGACTAATTTTAGTGCTCACATATAAAGCGCCATGCAAACATTGATAAGATTCATGCTCAGCCTAAATGATTGCTGTTCTTTCTCTTACTAAACAGTGATACAGGACAGCGGTGTCCTGTGGACAATGCAGTTCTGTCACAGGACCAGCTCTTTCCTGATAACTTTGCCAAACGGGAGATTCTCTCACTGACTGTTATCTGTCCAAACTCTGGCTGTGCTGAGAAAATGGAGCTCCGACATTTAGATGTGAGAATTTTTGAGAGTGACAGACATGTCTGATTTTGAATGTTACTGAACCAAGAGCACAAAAAGGGGAAACATACAGTTCAAATGATATTTGGGTCATTTTGACTACTTAGATGTGTTTATTATATCAGATAGCCCGTAAATGATTACAGATCTTTGTGTGATCATTTATGCTTGATCCATCACAACAGTTAACCATCTGCCCTTGAATATAAGTAGGAATTCTTCAACACTTAGTATACACACAGAGTTTCCTGTAGACACTGTTTATCGAGTGTAGCATTTCATATTTGGATTGTATCATAGTTTAAGTGTTTAGTGTAGTTCTGTGATTGTGTTGAAAAAGATCTGCCTTAATAAAATTGCTTTAAAAGAAAACTGGCAACAAGTAAGATACCAGCAGCTCAGTTTACCTCTTGTCCTGTCAACACCACTGTAGTCAGCACACACTCTTCCTCCTGATCATTTCTGAAATGTTGTCTCTCTGCTGGCTCCTAATCAGCAGCCAGTCAGGAGTGTTTTGGTTTAGTTACTAGTGATAACTGTGCACATGCTGGAACAGTGAATATTCTAGTAGTCTAAAAGAGAATGTCAGTTAAGGTTCCAGGCAGATGCAAATATTCTCATCAACTTACCACTCTACTGAGAGATTTGGGGGGCTATCACATTGTATTCTTGTTTAGACATGTTAAAAACTGGGTTAGATGACATGTAAAAACCTGCATCTGTCTCTGGTGTGGACAGTGCAAGTGAATGAAATTGAACCACTGCAGTCTTACTACAGAATTTAATTAACTGCATTGTTTCAACATGTTTTCCCTCCAGAATCATTTGGCACAGTGTCAGTTTGCCACAGTGCCCTGCCCACAGTGCCAGCAGTCTGTGAGAAAGAGCCACCTAGAGGAGCATACGATTCATGAATGCCAAAGAAGGCCTATGTCATGTCCAGATTGTGTGGCATGCTTTGTTTATGAGGAGAGAGAGGTACTGTTTACTCACATATGTAACTGCTTTACAGAACAGTTCTGTGTTGTGTATCAGTGAGGATTAGTGTCATTTTAATCTGGTTTTGGTTGCTCCTACAGCTTCATGAGCAGCAGTGTCCCTTTGCCAATGTGAAGTGCCAGTACTGTGAGTTGGATCTCATCAGAGATCAGGTGAGTTGCACAATATATGCCACAAAGAAGGCCTCTGATAAAACTAAATGTTTATATAATAGTAAATTGTCATCCAAGCCAACTTCTGTCAACAAGAACTTCTCTTTTGCTTAAACAATGGGGAACTGTCAAACCCAGTCACACTCCATATCACAGTTGATGTGAGATAGCAAGTGTAAACAATGACATGATTTTCTGAAAAAATAAACATGAATGGAGCTAAGCTGAATGTGTTTGTTCCAGGTGGAATCTCACTGTGATACAGATTGCCCCAAAGCACCCATTGCCTGTACTTTTAGCATGTTCGGATGTAAGGAAAGGGTAGGTGATCAAATTCAAACTAATTTCTTTTGTTACAACCCTTCCACATACAGTTGAAAGAACGGTCATATGGAGCTTGGGTTGTTACATGACATATGGCATTAGTCCTGCCTGTAGAGCAGATGTCACAGAGAGTTACTGTTTACCTCTGCAGATGCAGCGCCACAACCTCGCTCAGCACATGCAGGAGTTTACACAAATGCATATGCGCTACATGGCTGAATTCCTGCGTGGCCTTAGCCTCAATGGCACCACACCCAGATCTCTGTGGACACTTGGATCTCCTGTTTCCTCTGACGAGCAAGGAGCTGCAGTGTCCGTATCAGCCCATAGTGGGCCCAGAGGAGCTGCAGGCTGCTGTGTCAGCTGTGCTCCATGTCAGCCTAACGAAGAGATGCAGAGGCTCAGAGAGATGGATGGACGTTTGGTGAAGCAGGATCACCAGCTGCGTGAGCTCATCATCTTAAAAGAAACACAGGTAGGTCCATGTGCCTCAGAGCATGAATGTGTGCAGTCTGCAATGATATGAGATTTTCACTATATGATAACCATCTCAGAAAATATGACAGTATTATTTCCCCCCAGTAGGCTAGTGGTTAAGGCGCAGCGCTCTCACCACGGCGCCCCGGGTTCGAATCCAGGTTGCGTCAGGAAGAGCATCCGGCGTAAAACACATGCCAAATGTCAATATGCAAGTCTTCAGTGTGACAATTTGCTGTGGTGACCCCTAAACAGGAAAAGCCGAAAGTGACTTTCTTATGTTATTATACAATTACTATTCTTATCAACTATACTGACCCTCAAAGGAATGAAAATAAAGGGTCTTTTTTTAATTGCAGGTGACTGCGCCAGTTGATTGAGCTGGACTGCAGCTCTAGATTGACCCTGAAGAATAAACAGAATTATAAACATGGTTAAGAAAAAGAAAAAAGCATATAACTCGAACGTGTTATATTACTAAAGCATGTTGGTTTGCACCGTAGCGGATCCTGTTTGTGATTGTCATGGACAGGATCTCAAGGCACAGCTGAGGGTAGAAAGTGTCCGGTTTGGGGACCTTGGAATTGCGTCTCTGCTATTTGCCGATGATGTGGTTTCGTTGGCTTCATCAGACCATGGCCTCCAGCACACACTGTTGTAGTTTGCAGCTGAGTGTGAAGAGACGGGGATGTACCTCCAATTCTGAGGCCATGGTGCTGTGCCGGGAAACGGTGGCCTGTTCCCCCTGGGTTGGAAGTGAAATAGCTTTGGGTTTTGTTCACAAGTGAGGGCAAAATTGAGTATGAGATTGACAGGCGGATAGAGGCAGCATCAGCAGTAATGTGAACATTATATCAGACTGCTGTGGTGAAGAAGGTGCTGAGCCGAAAGGCAAATCTCTCAATTTACCAGTCAGTCTATGCTCCAACCCCGTGGATAGTTACTGAAAGAATTAGACTGCAAATGCAAGTTGCCAAATGCGCTTCCTTTGTAGGGTGGCTGGGCTTAGTCTTACAGATAGGGTGCGGAGAGTGGACATCCAGAAGAGACTTGGAACCAGTTGAGGTGGTTCGGGCATCTTATCAGGATGCCTCCAGGACACCTCCCTATGGAGATCTTCCAGGCACGTCCATCTGGTAGGAGACCTTGGGGCAGATTTAGAACATGCTTGAGAGATTATACATCTCATCTGGCCTGGGAACACCTCTGAATCCCACCAGAGGAGCTGGAACACGTCGACAGAGAGAGAGAGAGAGACATCTGTACTACCTTGGTGTACCTGCTGCCAACATGACCTGGATCATAATTGATGGATGGTTGGATGTTAGTTTGCGTGTTAGTACCAGCAGTAGGGGAAGTATTCACATCCTTAAGTGAAAGTATTATGGCCTACTCTGTTACAAGTAAAAGTCCTGCATTGGAAATATTAAGAATTAATAAAGTATTAAATGTAGAATTAGGCTACTCAATGCTGAAAAATGTTACACTATTTATCCAATACTAATATATTTTATTATTACATTAACAGCCTATCACTCATGCATTGATGTAAAATCAGGACTTCACTGTTGTAGTTGGTTGAGGTGGCATTCTCTTACTATTAGATACTATTTTGTATCCAAGCATAACTATTGATTATTTTTTAATAGGAATTAAGACAACGATTTTTTTTCTCCATTAATCGATTGACTGGTTTATAGAACAATAGTGGGACACGCTGTCACAATGCTCTAAATGATTATCTGAATAGTTGCTCATTTACTGTAAGTATGCAACAGCACCGCCAGTCTATCTGTTTCACAGAGACACACACACACTTTTGAGAGCCAGGAAAGTTGGTGTTTCTGGGGTCAGATCGAGATCAGGTTGAGTTCTGTTGTATGTTAGAGAATAGCAAAACAAATGGACAATGTTGAAAATTATTTTCATAGCGCATTTTATGATGACATTTATACGCTCAAGCATTTTACTGTTTGGGATTCAAGCAACAAATGGGACGCATACTGATTCTGCACAGTGGGATGGTGTTGTTCTTGAAGGTGTTTTGGAGATATCCAAAGAAATCCCACACTGCTGATTTTAATTTCTGTTTTGGTGAGTGGAGTTTGGTGATATCAGCCTCCTTCTCTGCCGTTTGTCCACTGCATGCACCTATGTGGCACCCGCTGCAGATTCTGACAGGCAGTCAGGGACGTAAGGTGTGCACGCAGTGTTTTTCCTTCCGTAACGGTAATAAGCAAATGTGCATGGTATGATAACTATCAGTTTTCATACCATGGTATACCATGGTAAACTGCTCCAACCCTAGTGCAATCACATGCTCTGACTGTTGTGTCCCTGTCCTAACCTTTAGCATCTGTTAAGTAATGTGAATAGAGGATTTGAATTTTCTGAACCCAGCTTGTCCACAGTTAAGGAGATAAATGGGGGAGATATCGATCTTGGCATGTAAACAGTATACTGTAGCTGTATATATTGATTCAGACATGATCTTGCAATCATCATGGGCCTGAAAGAAAGCCACAAATAATTTGTTACAGAGCAAGAGGATTGTTCCTCCTCCTTGGCTTATAGTCCATTTTTTGTTAACAATATATTATCTCTAGCTGTTTGGGACTTCTTAGATCTTGTCATGATTATTTTTAAGCCTCTGTTGTCCTGTCTCTTTCACAGGCAGGCCAGCTGGCAGAGCTAAGGCGGAGGGTGTCACTGCTGGAAGAGACAGTAAAGGAGCTGGAGGCCCAGCAGTGTCATGGTGTCTTCATCTGGCGTCTCAAAGGTTTCTCTGTCCACCTGCGAAACCAAGAAGCAGGCCAGCCAGTGGTTGAGCACAGCCCTGGCTTCTACACAGGCTGCCCAGGCTATAAGCTTTGCCTGCGTTTACACCTGCAAACCCCCAATGCCCCACGCTGCTCCAACTACATCTCCCTTTTTGTCCACACCATGCAAGGAGCTTTTGATGGGCAGCTGACCTGGCCATTTCAAGGCACCATACGGCTTGCTATCCTCGACCAAGGCCCAGACGGTCAACACCACATGGAGGTGATGGAGACTAAGCCAGATCTGCAAGCCTTCCAGAAGCCCACCATCCCACGCAATCCCAAAGGATTTGGCTATGTTACCTTTCTCCATCTGCATCAACTGAATCAGAGAGCCTTTGTTAAAGATGACGCTCTACTTATCCGCTGTGAGGTGACACCACGTTTTGACAATATGCTTCATCGTGAAGGACCAGCAGTGCAACCTAGAGGACCTGAGGCATCAGTTTCAAAGGACTAAAGTCAAGCCCATGTATGGGGTTGTCATCATGCCATGATATCAGTTCTGATATCATGCCATGATATCAGTTCTGATCATCCATTTAAACTGATGGTCATGAAGAGGTGGGTAATTGATGTTGACAACCATTTAAATTTTAGGAATTGCAGTGTATGCTAGTATTTATTTGTTTACCAACTAAATGCAATATCATTTTTGTTTACACACACAGTAACATATATAAAATCTCCGGTGCTCAGCATAAATGAGTACACCCCAACAAATTTGTCAGAAAACCTTTACTTCCCTTTCAGAATCAAAATTTTCTATGGGAAACTATACTGCAAAATATTCCCACAAATGCAGGCCAGTGATTGCAACCAAGATTTGTTAATGTGCACACACAAAAAAGTATTTTTCCTAACAAGTTCATTCAAGACCATGTTGCAAACATGAATACATCTTGATGGAAGTCTTAGGAGCAAAGCTAAATTTTAGACAACAAAATCAGGAGCGTCTTCTGATGAGAAGGGTCAAAGAAAATCGGCATGCAATTTCACTGCATTTAGCTAAAGAAGTAGAAAGCCAAACAGGGGTGATTGTTTCTCGTGACACAATACGACGTACACTACAGAGAAATGGCATGTGTCATCCACGAAGGAAGGCTCTCCTAAAGCCCATCCACAAAAAAGCCTGTCTAGAATTTGTCAGGGCCCATGCTGAAAAAGATAAAGACTACTGGGACTCTGTACTGTGGAGTGATGAGACCAAGATAAATGTTTTTGGAACTGATGGCTTCAAAACTTATGGTGTCGCAAAGGTAAGTACAAAGAAAAATGCATGGTTCCTACAGTGAAACATGGCGGTGGCAGTGTCCTTCTGTGGGGCTGCATGAGTGCTGCTGGTGTTGGGGAGCTGCATTTCATTGATGGTATCATGAATTCACAGATGTACTGCTCTATATTGAAAGAGAAGATGCTACCGTTACTCCATGCCCTTGGGAGTTGTGCACTTTTCCAACATGACAGTGATCCAAAACACACATCTAAGGCCACTGTTGCATTTCTGAAGAAGAACAGGGTGAAAGTGATTCAGTGGCCAAGTATGTCTCCTGATCTGAACCCAATCAAACACCTATGGGGAATTCTGAAAAGACGAGCATCACTCTCCATCCAGCATCCAGGCTCTAAGAGGTCATTCTTGAAGAATGGAAAAAGATAGATGTCGCAATATGTTGCCAACTTGTTCAATCCATGCCTAGAAGACTTGGTGTTGTCCTTACAAATCGTAGTAGTTTTTCTTGTGGGGTGTATTCATTTTTGCAGCAAATAATTTGAGTAAAAGTGAAGATTTTGTAACCTAAGTTATATTATTAACCTTACTTTCATGAAATGAACTAAATAAATGTTCTATACAACTCAGTTTTGTTAATATTTTGGAAATTGTTCTTGTGTTCATTGAGATATTGATTAGAAACTTACTTTTCAAAAGGGGTGTACTCATTTATGCTGAGCACTGTATGCACCCAGCTGGTACCAACATTTGACAAGCGTCATATGTTCAAACTGTGTAAATAGTCAGTGGTCAATCAGCTCAGCATCACATGTGCACTGCTTCCAGACTGAATATTACTGTATAGATTTTGCTCCTTTTGTTGCAGTACTTGGAGATAGTGCTCAATATTGAAGATACCCTGTGCAGTTTTCTTTTTCCCCCCACAGAATGAATCTCGATGTGACACAATCAGTGGAATGACTCTAATACATTATGAGACATTACTCCAACAAAAACTATGCATATTGGTGAATAATTGAGTGTTTACATGAAAACCTTTGAAAAGTAGCATCATCAGAAGGAATATGAATAGTAAAACTGTAATTCATGTTTTCTCCAAATTCAGCATCTCATGCTTCACTACTTTTGACTGTACTGTTCTTAGGACAGCACTGTGACATAAGCAGGTATAAAAATGGCAGCACCCTTCTTAACATGGAAGGTGTTCTGCATTTCTTGGACTGATTTACCTAAATCTGACATGAATCAGTGTCATTACTTTAAAACAATATGCTACCTGTAAAGGCATGTAGGCAGTAGATTTTTGTTTGTTCATCATATGAAATAATGCTGGTGATTTAACTGTCTTAAACAATAAATCTGGTCATTTTCTATATTAGCAGTATGTTCAACACTCCCTATACGGAGACTAAAACCAGCAGTGAATTGCCTCCACTCACTGTTAATGTCTGTCAATTCTGGATTATCTTATTCGTCTGTGCAATTTTCCTTCACTGATGTTCAAAAACAATTAAAAACACATCAGAGAAGCACACTGCTGCACTAAGTGACAGTGATCATCGTTATGAAATACAAGACCCTGATATTGGCTCAGGATATCCAGATATCTGGTGTATGGGCCCTGGACTCTTGCTTACTTTTGATGCTGTAAAAGGTTATGGCTGTTCAGAGCCTTTGGGGCAACATTTCCAAAAAATATCAGGGTCTGTTGTTTTGTAATGAGGAAACCAGCGCAATGGTGTGTTTTTAATTGTTTTTGAACAACAATTGAGGTCCGCGGCACAGATGAGTAAGATAATCCAGCAGTGACACTGACAGATAATAATTGTGAGTGGAGGTAAATCATTGCTGGTTTTAGTCTCTGTATGGGGATTGTTTAAAATGCTGTTAATATAGAAAGTCACCAGCTTTATCCTTTAACAACGATGAATGTTAATAATCCAATTGTTGGTGCTTTATGAATCGCAGTCTATTATCCTGTACTAATGAAAATAGCCTTAAATTAAAGTTAAGCTTACATAAACTCCCACTGACTGTAGTTTCTAACTTGTAATATTTTGTACTGACACCATAAATTGACACAATTTTAATAAAGACCTCTCTGTTTTTGTCATTCAAACAAAGGAACCTAATTTTCATGTCATTTAGAGGCAACTCATGATAATTTACTCTTCCTTTGGCTCCACTGAAGGAATGTTGTAAAATATCCTCCATAAGAGCCGTATACAGTTTAGTCATCTTGAAAACCAACAGAAGGCTGTACATTTTTCAGATGATTATCATTTAGTACATTCTTTAAAACTCAAAAGCTTAATTAGAGAGATCTGTGAATGCATTCAAAATAGTTTTATTGATTTAAATCTGTGTCCAAAACAAGTCACTCATCTTTTTTTCAGTTATACCAAGATATTCTAAAATCTCATTATCATATGATATAATTAGCTGTCTGTGTGCTACCAGTAACCATTACCACGTTTATTCATCAATATAAGGAAATTTTTTGCTAGCTCCATATCCCTGCTGACTCAGGCTGGTTTCCCCTCCTTCTTTTTTGACTTCTTTCTCTGGTTGACTTTGAGGTGCATCCTTGGTGGTGCTTTCCTTGCAGCCTGTTAGAGACACTGAAATTTCATGTCATATTAATATTTAGTCTTACATAAGTAATAAAATATTTCCTGTTTTTGATTCTTGACTCACTTGGAGCTCTTGGAGCATCTTTGCCACACTTGAGTGTGCTTTGAGCAAAGCACTCTGCCATCCAGGACAGCACCTCTCCACAATATCTAACCTAGAGATGTCAGCCAAAATGAATGACATAAAAGATACTTTTATGTGAACTAGACTAAGGAAAATGCAACCTGATTATATGTCAGATATTGGTTTTGAGGCCACTTTTCCAGGTTTACCTGAGCCTCCATTGATGCCATTCGTTTTTCTTGGTCCTTGATCCCGCCAACAATCCGCAGCAAGTTCTGAACCCTTGGTCACAAACAAAAGTTTGTTAAAATCACATTAAATGTCTTAATAATCAATTTCTACCACTAGGGGCCAGAGGAGCTTTAATACAAGCTATAGTTTGGTGCTGGGCAGGTACAGTGGGTTTATTAGAACTTGTTTGCTAAACATATTATATCTTCTTATAATCAGAGTATATGACAGTTTACCCAGAGTAACAAAACTGCAAAATGACATTTACTTTGAGGAGGTACTTTTGAGTCTTTCCTCACTGCTCTCCCAGTGCTGGCGCTCACGTTTGGCCAGGTAGTTCTCTTTTTGCACTGTCTCCCATGTTATCAGCCTCTGGTCTAGCCCTGGTGGTAGCTCCCTCTCTGGCAAAACACACATACATACACAAGGATGCAGTTCTGTAACCAATTAACCAACAGGCAATTTCCATGGAAAGACAGAGGTAAGCACACTGTGTGTATGCCACAAACAAACAAAAAAACATGCTTTTGAAATAAAGTACAATGGCTCAATAGTCCTGAAAGGAAGTATACTGAAATATGCTAACAGAACCTTCATACCAAGATGCTCCTGCTTGGACTCAGTCCTCTTGAGCATGCAGAGAAAGAGCTGAGATAGGTGGCTGATGATGATGAAGGGTGGGGCCAGTGCTGGACGGCTGTGGTATTCCACAATCAGGTTGTATCTCTGGAACTTCCAGAAGATGTCCGTGTTGCCCTGCACTACCTGGAATGTGTAGCTGTAAACGGGGATAACAAAAACCAAAACCAGAGTGTGATTTTTGATTATACAATGTACAAAGAAGCCTAGTGCAATTCAGATCATCAGACAGACAAGCATATGGACAGTTTTCTGGATTCCCAGCCCCCTGACCTGAACATGGCAATAAGCAGGTTGAGCAGCAGGACATTGGTGACAAGAAGGAAGATAACCAGCAACAGGATGACCAGCCAGTTGGCGTAGACGCTCGGACATGGCGGCCGGAGGCCTGTGATAATCTCCTCTGAATTATTGGTGCAGTTCATTTCAGGCATGCGAGCAGCTGTGCTCCATTTAAAGAAGGAACAATTAAATGGCTTGATTAGATCAGAAGACATAACATTGAGGCTTAAAGAAAGTCATCCCTGACTGCATTAATGATCAAAATACAACATGATAATAAACCGCACAACACTGTAATTTACAGTCAATTTCCTCTAAGGGGATTTGGCCAAAAATGTGCAGGTATGGGCGGTACAAGGCTCTGCGAAACACCCAGTCAATTCGAGGGTCATTCGGATGGAGAAGAGCCTGGGTGGCAACGCCATACGCAATAAGCCACACACTCAGGAAAAAGAGGAAGAAGAAAACGTCCTTCATCTGAAAAGGAGAAACAGGCATGTTTTCATTCTCTTAATGGGCTACACCTCTACATCTATGACCACAAACATGATTAATACTTTTAATAATTAAGGGATGTTTGGATAGGGGTGTTTTGTGTTGTTCACCATTCGTTCCACAATGATGATCTTGGGGCCCAGTTGCTTATGAATAGCAAAGATATGGATCAGACGCAGAGTGAATACCATGAAGTCTATTGCCAGTACTGTCCTTCCTGCTTCATAGGTGTCATTAACCATCCTGCAAAATGAAAGAAAACAGTCATTACTTATTCATTTCACCCTTTTTTTTCATGCAATAATTCATTAATTTGCTCACTCCTTTATTTTCTTGCTCTAGCCTAGATCATTCTGTAACAAATGTAGATCCTCCCCACTGTTATGTTATATTTTTGTCAGTGCCATCAATGTCATTACCTGCATGAAACCCCAACAACAAAGAGCGAGATGGCAACCATGTCACACTTGTTCCAGTTGTCTTCAACATAGAGTTTGAACTTCTTCAAGATGTTCATCTCTTCATCCGTGAAGAAGCTCTGGGTCATAAATGATAGTTTATACTTTACTATGAGACATAATTTCATGTTTGCATGTTTTAAGAAACATCAAATTTGCTGTAAAAAGTGTGATGTTACATTTATTGTGGTTGCAAGGCCAAGCCTTGTGTTTAATTCTAATCCCAAACCTTTTTTGTTAGCATATTCTTTGTGTGTTTTTAATAGTATTAGTAATTTAATAAAATATAATATGTTTAACAGTTTTTTATTTTATTTTTATTTATTTATTTTTTAACAGAAATTAAAATTTGAAATTATTTGGATTTTTTTGTGCTGGCACGGAAATATAATTTACATTATGAACATAATAAAGTAGTTTTAACTTGTGTTATTATAAAGGTTCCATGTATTTCATAAAGCCATTCATGCTCTGAATAGTTCTAGGTATTCATAGGTGGTTGTGCTTTAATAAATCTTTTCAACCTTTTCAAGCCATCAGCTATATTTAAGATTTTTTTTTCTCTGTTAGAGCTGAGTAATATTTTTCTTATGCTAACATGCTCTCTGCCAGGACACACACACACACACTGCAGCCCTATTCGGGCACACCTGCAGCCTCTAGAAGGAGCTTCACAGCCCTGGTGCTTCAGAAGCACCTGCAGTGTCCCGGATAGTCATTTCTGTGAATTGTCTCTTACATCTGAAGTGTAAGGTTGAGTGCTTCAGAAGGACACCTTTAAGTGCCTTAAGAGCCTATGTCTGGTTCCTTGATGGTACAGTTGGATTGAGAACAGACCGGTGTGTAAGTCCCAGCTGTCATATTACAAATGCCAACATGACCACCAAATACTCTCACTTGTAGCTAACTAATTGCAGCTACAGCCAGGGTGGCAGACTGATAAGACACCAAATCATATTTTGCATAGCAACCCATGCAGCCTCCTTTTGGGATTACATAGCCCTCTCAGCATACTCCGCATGCAGGATGGGAATCTGTTCTTCTTTTGCTATTTTTTTACAGCACTATGGATGGGGTCTGACCTTCTGAAGGCCTAAATGATTTGTAAGTAGAGCCTGTGAATACCAGTGAGGTCTGTTGAAATGTGCTGTACATATGCATTGCTACCAACCAACTTGTTTCAACTTGTAACCTTGCACTAGCCATGTATCAGATTTAAAAGGGTGGTAACTTACAGTTTCTAACCTTATGCTATGACAAGTATGGCAAGAACAGCTCCTCTGTGGCACTGTGTTCCTTTAGGGAGAGGCACTCTACCCCACAGCCATCATTTTGAATGCACAAGAGCCTCATCTGGGTTTGATACCATTCCAGAGCTGCCTATAGCAGCATGGTTCTTATTTTGGAAACCTGTGCTGTTCAGCTCAGGGATTTTCAGAAGAACTGCAGTGAAGGCCTATCTCATCTGGGGCTTCTGTGCCCAAGGGAGGAAGGCTCAGTGCAATAAGGGATCATGCTTGTCTGACCCAGCTCAATGGGAAGGGAGGTAGGCAGAGAGGTGAAAGGCTCATGAATCTTTAAACCCCAGAGAGAATGAGCTTAATGAGGTGATTCACATCACCTCCTTCCTATACAGATGTGTCTGACTTGTCAGGTCTGAACTTGCTGGTAGTTCAACTACATTAATAGATTCAGTTTTGCCATTTTTGTGTAGTTAACTACTGCAACTACAAATAAATTTGGGCCACAAAAGGAAAGGAATGATCTTTTTTATTTTACCGTTGCTTCTCTAACCCTAACCGCCTTTTGGATAAGAACATTAAGAACTTTGAACGACTCTTCATGTGTTGTATAAACAAGAGATTCTGCTCTGAGTAGTAGTAATGAACAATGGGCCCATTTAGACCAGTGTTCAAGCTGTTCATACCATCTAAAAGATGTAAGATCAAGACTGTTTTAGTTTTTAAGTTTGTATAAGTCAGATGTTGTAAAACTGACAATTAACAAAATAGGCTCAATTTTTTTAGACCAGCGCTAAAGTCAGTCAAATAGAAATATAGAATGTCATTGTGAAAAGTCCACATGGGATTATTTTGTTTAGGACAGGTTTTTTTGTCTCAGGTAAATAAACTCAGCGGAGTGGCATTTTTGCTGGTATGCAAGTTTTACTTGATGTTATAGTTTTGTATGACACATACATTGTCAGATTTATTGTTTGTTACAAAGTAGTTTGAGCTGTTTTTTCTAAGTAACTTTATCAAACTACATTTCTGTCTAGAGTAGCTTTGCT